TATATATATATTTTGCTATGTGCTTTTTCCTGTATCAATCATGATGTTGTTTTACCTCCTTTACAATTTTCCCCCTTTCTTAAAATGCAAATTATACCCTTTCTATAAAGTTCAACTCCACCTTGATTTCTGAAATCCTGTAGTACATGTTTGTTGATACTGGATACATTATACAGTGTAGTCTTTTGGTCTTCTCTTCTAAACTAATTGTAAGTTCCTTTAAGGGCAGGACAACTGATCTCAGGGAGTTTTGTTTTTTTCCAAATAGAAGTTGCTGAGTAAATGTTTCATAAACAATGAATGTGCATATCTTTTTCCCACCTTTTTTATGATATAGTGGAAGTAAGAACATTATTGAAGGAGGGAGTAACTGTTGGAGGACGGGCAACAGTAAACCCTAAGGAAGGGGGGATTGATTAAAAATGGGGTTCATTTGGATCAGGAGAGGTTCAGTTCCTAGAAAGTGAATATTGGAGCTATTCCCCTGTTAATAGCAGCGGTAAAGACTCTCTCAGGAATGCTGCGCTAATCCCATGTGGACTTGGTGAGTTTGGTCAGTTTTCTGATTCTTCCTTAGTAGACTCTTAATTAAAAAAAAAATGAATCCCTTTCTCTTTCCCTCTTCCCTCTCTTATACCTTCTTTACATTCTCATCTTATTTTACTCCTTTCCACCCTACACCTTGGCCAGGTAAAAACTTAATTTATGAAATTACGTCAGTATTTTCATTTTGTCTTCATCAATGAAGAATTATTGAAGTTTATTATATACTTTTTCTTTTCCTATTAGGACTGCTCTCTAGATCATGGAGATATCACTGACCATAAGTTTAATCCTATTTGAGTTACAATTTCGGATGAAGAAATTAAGAAACAAACACTAGTAATTTGCTTTCTGTATATTATGACTTCAGATTATTTTTGGATTAAAAGTCAGAGTTAAGAAGAACCTAAAACTGTTCATTCCTTTTTGGAAAGTACTTGTCATTTTCAAAGTATGTCTTTAAAATTTTCAGGTAATTTTTGTGATCTTGTCACAAATCTGAAGCTTTAAAGCAAAGAATTACTTTAATTGAAGGAGCAAAAATGAAACCTAGTCTAAGCACTTTTTATCAGTCTTGGTAGGATTCAGTTGTTTTGTGAGTGAGCTTGCCAGCCTCACTTCTGACTTGTTGCCCAGTAACACTATTGCAGTATAACATAGCAACTTGTGAAAGCAGTAGCCTCGGACTATGGGGATTTTCCTGGTGAAGCTGCAGCGCCTGTCTCTAGTATTCACATTTAATCTGTCTCTCTCACTTAAATCACATTTGCTTTAAGGCAGATATTTCAAGTATTGTTAAAACTAAAGGGCAGAATATAGGCTCATAATCATATTCTTTTGGAGTGGTAACAAATTATAACTTTCTGCACATTGTTTTCCACATATAGTTGCAGGCTAACTATACATTGAATTGAATTATAGTGTATGTGAAAGACCTATGAAAAGATTAATTTAACTTAAAACTCCTGTACAGAAAAGCTGCTAAGTAGTAAGTATGCCAGTAAGAGCTATAGTAGTTGAAGCTGAAATGGACTGACTCACTCTCTCTCTCTCTCTCTCTCTCTCTCTCTCTCTCTCTCTTTCTTCTTTGAGCTTAGGTCAGTAAACACAATTTAATAGGTACTGTAATTTTGTGGGAAGAGGATTGTGATTCAGGAGATCAAAGCTTGATTGGATGAGTCACCTAACCCTTCTTAGCCGATGTTCTCTTTTGAAAACTAGATCTCTGAAGATTTCTTGTATGCTTCCAATTTGAAATAACTTCTGTTTTTCTTCTTCAGAGGTGTAGTCATTTTTTGAGTGCTTGTTATGTGTCTTGCACTATGCTAGTTACTGGAGAGATAGTGTAAGATCTCAAGCACCTTATTGTCCAGCGTGTGAAATGGATAAAGTATACAGTAGCTTGTAATGTAACATCATAGATGCTATAAAGATAAGTAGAATTCATCCTGACATGCAAGGAAGGACAGCTGACTAGAATTACAAATAATATAATGAGGGATGGTCATTAGTATTACTGGGTTTAATTGGAGAGTGTACAGAGAAATACTTATCCTGGTCTGGAGGGAGTGAGTCAAAGAAAATAAGGTAAAAAAAAGTTCCTGCAAGTTGGAGCAATAGAATCAGGAGTCACTAGCAGTACTAATAGTTGAAATCCTGGAAGTTGATGACATGCCTGAAGAGTATAGAATCAGAAAAGGGAGAACATACGCGTAGAATAAGTGATAAAAAGAGAAGGGAAGGAAACCAGAGTAGATTCAGGTCTTGGAAGCCAAGGGAGGTGTGCGTATCACAGTTAGATTTTTAAAAATTAGTGCTCAAGAAAACGCTAACTGTGTAGCATCAGTGTAACCCATCTATAGAAAGCTGTCTCCTACGAAGATTTGAACTTCCATAGGAGGATGAAAGTCTTTGTTTAGCAACAAAACAAAAGAAAGAGTTAGAATCAGATTTTGAGTCAAAATTTAGAATCTTGGCTATATTACTTCACTAGCTACTTGCCTTTTGAGACCAGTTAATTGCCTTCATCTGTAAAATAATACTTTTTTCATAATCATATAGTCACAGAAGGTGAGTTGTAATGCCTGCCTCAATCACTGTAGATATTCTTTAATACTGGTTTTCATCCATTCTACTATTACAGGCTGTTCACACCCCTATTTTCTTGCCTTTCTCTATCCCTAATCATATTTTTAAAAATTTAAAATCCATTAGAATTCCTGCCTTTTT